GAACTTGATAAAGGATGCAGTTGAATGTGTTAGAAATGAAAATTGAAACATGTATTGATCCATATTCACAGACTGGTTCATTCAGGGATCTGAGTTCATTTCATCTTATTTAATCATTTGGCTCATGTTTGTATGTATTTCTGTGGAAAATATATGCTTTTCCCCCTTCCATCCAGTGTCCTGTGACCTTTGAAGAGGTGGTGGTAGGTTTCACCCAGGAGGAATGGGAGCTGCTGGATTCTGACCAAAGGGCCCTCCACAGGGAAGTCATGGAAGAGAACTGGAGGATCGTGGCCTCTCCTTCCATGCCTGATATTACCTGCACTGACGATGAAAAAAATCACATTTCTGAGCCACAGCAAGACCACAAGTCATCCGACCGCTTGGGAAATGTTAAGAGAGAGCCGGGATATTCTGGTAAGTGGTTGAACTCCCATCTCCCATCAGTCAAAGCCAGCCTGGCTAAGAAGGAGACGTGGTTGGAGCCGTGGTTCATCAGGATCTGGACGACCAAATGTCTCCCACTCTTTAGGGGATTCTGGCTAGGCACCACTTTGAAAAGGAAGAATTTCATAATGGAACAGGGGGAATATTCTCATGGGGATGGGTGAGAGGGGTGGGCTAAAGCAGAAATTTCTTTTCCCTCCTGTTTGAAGAAAAATGTAAAGATAGAACAGCTGTAAGTGCATTTTAAAATGTGGTGAACTGAGTTGAGAATGGAATTTATTTAATACAGAAATAGAATCTGGTTTATACTGAGGAATCTAAATTAGAAAGTCCTCTAGTCTAGGCCATGTTTTTGATGCCTTGTACGTTGGTACACAGTGCCTTCATACCTAAAAATAAAATTGAATCCTCAGTGTTAAGGTTTTCTTTTACACATCTAATTTGTCCTCCTCTTGGGCCTTTTTAATGTTTTGGAGGATGGAATTGCAGTTAAGTGCCCAGTCCCACTTCCTGGTTTCTGAAGGGCACTGTATTGGGGGCATCTTTCTGATGAATTTTTCTTCAAGAGTTAGGTCCAAAACCAGCATTGGAAAGCAGAAGAGAAGATGTCCAAGTGCGTGAGGGTAAGAAAGACGCTACCTTGGTGCATGTACAAAGTGCAGATCTCAAACGACAGAGTGCAAGGATGGCCACTAGGCTTTATAGTAGAAGACTTAGAAGGCAAACTTAAACAACTTAATACAAAAAAAAAAGGATTAAGATTGTTGAAGAGTTCTGAAGTGGCCTGATCCTTTAAAGTGGAGTACTGTAATTGCGATTGCAGCTAAGACCTTTGGTAGCATTCATGCTTCATTTTAAATTAGAAGGCAGGCTGTGAGGACACATCATAATACTGAAAAATCTTTCTCACTCACTCGGGGGCTCTCAAAACAATTCTAGTTTAAAGTTCTCCATCGCTGATGACAACACTGTGGTTAGCATTCATGGCTACTTAGCATATGTATGCTAAATTGGCATTCCCAAATCAGCACAAAACAGTTTTGATTTTTTAGTTCAGTAATATTGAATGAGAAATGCCAGGCTTTCGGCCTGAATGCATAGTTTTCTGGATTTAGATTTAGTCTGGGTAGGCATCAGGCTAAATATGGGTCAACAGTGTGATCCCGTGATGACAGAGGCTAATTGCATAGTAGTTCATGCCACTGTACAGTGATTGATGATGTCAGCTTTCCATGTTATGTCTGTGCTATTCTTAAGAAAGAAAGAACTTGGGTTCTTTCTCCCCAAGTGAACAATGGATAGTGGTAAATATGGGGTGAAGATGATAGTTTTCTAATTGATTCTCAAGGGTCCTTCTGCATGAGTAAGTAGTTGTAGAAGAAGAAGTCATGTTATTCTGTGCAAGCATGGTAGGTGTTAATCATGTTCGTTGTTGAGGATCTCAGCACAGTGATTTAAACATTTAGTATAAAAAAGTCCAACTCTTTTGGAGTCCACATGGAGTTCTTATTTTTGTGGCGCTGGGAGGAAGGTGGATGTGGGTTGGTATATAATTGCACCTCTTGTTGTTGGGTTATTTTCTTCTGTTGTGGAGAATGGGACACCACACTGCATGAGGAACACACTGTAGTTTCTCAACAATCTTTTTCCCCCCAAGAGTTACGTTTTGTATCCAGCCAAAAAAGTGGAGTCAGTTTTCAAGTCAAAGGTCCATCTCTTTCAGCTACCTCTTTGTGGGAGAGAAAGGGGAGAAAGGGACATTGCAATTTTAAGACTAATGATTTCATTCCCGGGTAAGCTTTTCCGTTTCCTCAAACACTGGAGTAGAAATACACAGCTGGTATATTGATACGTGTCTCCACATTCAGATGAGGATGCAGACGAAAACGAAATGGCCATGTTTCATTAACATGGGAATGAGGCTATTAAGTTGTAATTTGCTTCACTCAGCAGGTCCCAGCTAGAACCAAGACTCTAGGGCAGGTGGGCTTGGATGTCATAGGAATGCTAAGGGTTGTTTCTAGGACAGAGGTCAGAATGGAGTTTGGCAGGAATCTCCTTGATCCAAAGATGTAAGCCCTCTGATGTCCAGATCTTGTAAGGCCCACTCGCAGAGTTCTGATTGATGCCTTTTACTTCCAGTCCTAACCAGAGATGTGAATATAAATTGATGGCCCAGTTTTGCTCTCTTCATTATAATTACAGTTCTTGTCCTGTTTAGGTATGATTGATGACAGGTAGAGATAGGTGTAGTCGGGTAGTTGTATTTTATTTATTTATTTATTTCATTTTCATTTATGAATACGAATATCCCCATGCAGCTAGACTGGGGATATGGGGCTGGACCGTCCACTCATGCATCCTCTGGTGGCCCCGCTCATCCTTCTAATCACTCCCGGAACACCACTTTCTTCCCGCTCAGCTGGCCACTCGGCAGCCATGCAGGGAGACTCATCCTCCCTCCCCCTGCCTGGAGTGGCTAGCTGAGCGAGAAGAGAGGCTGACCCGAGAAGATCTGGTGGGTCGGGCTGATGACTTTGGGGAAAGATGCTCTGACAGGTAATGGTTCTACATAGTGAAGGGCTTTATATGTGAGTGTCAGAACCTTGAACCTGATCCAGGTACACAACAGGTAACCAGTGGAGACTGGCCGGCACTGGGGTGATGTAAACAAATTTGCTCACACCAGCCACCAGTCTCACTGCTGCATTCTGGACCTGCTGTAGTGTCTGTGTCAGTCTCAAGGGAAGCCCCACGTAGAGAGCATTGTAGTAGCCAATCTGGGAGATGACCAGTGCCTGCACCAACGTCCTGAGGGAGCTCTCATCTAGGTAGGGGCAGATTTGGGCATAAGCCTAAACTGATTAAAAGCTGATCTGGAAATCCCAAGAAAGAGCCCAGTCCAGAAGAATGCCCAAATTATAAACTTGATCCCCGAATGGGAAGGCAGCAAAATCCAGTATACAGGTAATCTCCCCCAACCTTTCAGAGGGTCACCCTCCCCCCCACACAACAGAATTTCCACCTTGTTTGGGTTCGGTCTGAGTCTGTTCGCCCTGGACCCTTTCACTACTGAAGCCAGGCATCACAGCATCTGGATGGCCTCCACTGCAGATATGCTAAATGAGAGATAGTGTGTCAGCATAGTGATGGCACTAGATGTTTAAAACAAATACAAAGGTGACACTGAATATGATTCTCTCTCTTTTTTTAGCATGATTGATTCATTTCAGCTAAGTGCAGCGTGTAGCCTGCAAGAGTATAGTTTGAGACATGAGGGAACCACTGCCTGACTCCTTATGAATAAGACGGCTCTTAAAGGGGGTCTTCTAAGGTCAGGAGTGCTTCCCACCTGATTTTGGATAGTCTGCTAGGGAAACATCAGTTCTACTGGAACAGGACATTTCAGGTTAACCCGAAGTCCTTTTACCGCTTTCTAAAGATCATAACCTCTCACATTTCTGATTAAATCTTCTCTGTTATTCTCATTCTTCTCAGCAGATAACAAGAGGAAAGCAGATGTGTGTGCCAATTGTGGGGATTTTTTTACACAAGAATGCAAATTTCTGAGACACCAGAAAACTTATGGAGAAGAGGAAAAGACCTATGGATGCCCTCTGTGTGAGAAATGTTCTGCCTTAGTGATGGTGTCTAGGCCTTATGAGATTCCATGCATTGAAGAGGAACACCTTAGAATTGAAGCCTCTGGAAAATACCTTGATTACGATTTGCAGCTTGAGAGTCAGCAGGAATCCCGCCCAGAAGGGAACACATATGAATGTCCGGATCAACTTTTTATGTGGGATTTAAAGCTTATGACCCACGCAAGATATCACACAGGAGAGAAACCTTGCATATGCCAAGAGTGTGGAAAATGTTTTTTACACAGGTCAGATCTTGTGAAGCATCAGCGAGTCCACACAGGAGAGAAACCATACAAATGTCAAGAGTGTGGGAAATATTTTTCCCAGAATTCAGACCTTACAAGACATCAGACTGTGCACACAGGAGAGAAACCATTCAAATGTCAGGATTGTGGGAAATGTTTTGCCAGGAATTCAACACTTCTGATACATCAGACAATACACACAGGAGAGAAACCGTTCAAATGCCAGGAATGTGGGAAATCCTTTGTCAGGAATTCGATCCTTCTGATCCACCAGAGAGTTCACACTGGAGAGAAACCATGCAAATGCCAGGAGTGTGGAAAGTGTTTTGCTCGCAATTCAAATCTTCTGAAGCATCAGAAAGTTCACTCAGGATTGAAACCATACATATGCCAGGAGTGTGGCAAATGTTTTGCTCAAAAGCCAGACCTTAGGAGGCATCAGAGAGTTCACTCAGGAGAGAAACCATACAAGTGCCAGGAGTGTGGAAAATATTTTGCCTGGAATTCAACTCTTATGATTCACCAGAGAGTCCATACTGGAGAGAAACCGTACAAGTGCCAGGAGTGTGGGAGATGTTTTGCTTGGAATTCAGACTTTGTGACTCATCAGAGAATCCACACAGGAGAGAAGCCATACAAATGTCAGGAGTGTGGGAAATGTTTTACTCACAACTCAAACCTTTTGAAACACCTGAAACTCCATTCAGGGGAGAAACCATACAAATGCCCTTCAGCTGTTTCATCCATGCTGCCTGGGGAGATTGTGGAGGTTGTAGTCTAAACAAAAGCAGTCTGCCCCTATTCAAGGTTTTGGATCTGGATGAGTGAGAACAGAGAATGACACCTGTTCCAGGGAAAGGTGGCACAGATACGCTTCTAATTATTCTGGTCCAGCCATGTTAGTATTTTGCAGAAAAAATAATGACAGCACCTTAATTACTAACCTGTTTGTTTATGACATACACATTCATTCATTCATACATACATACATACACCTTTTATTGCTTTATAGCCGATCAGGCTGTATGCAAGAGAAATTAAAACCATCCTAAAAATTGTATCTAAAATCTAATGTAAACAAGCATAAAAAGCATAAAATATAATAGTAATAACGAAACAAACATTCTCAAAAAATTGATAAGATGTGAATTTACCTTGTAAAACTGGCAATAAGTTCCATCTTTCTGTGGCTGCTTTAATGAATTTAGCAGTCCTGTAGGATATACAGTAGTCTGTGCCAGCTAGCAGGAATAAAGCTATACAGTGGACCCTTGACTTATGGAATTAATCCGTATTGGAACGGTGCCTGAAGGTCGAAAAGTCTGAGGTCGAGGCTCCATTGGCCTACAATGCATTGAAAACCGATTGTAACCGGCCATTTTTGTTCCATTTTTTTTTTCTTGTCTGTAGGTCGATTCTCCGGCTGCAAGTCAAACCTAAATTTTGCAGCCTGAGAAATCTGTAACTTGAAAAGTCTGTAAGTGGAGCTGTCTGTAAGTCGAGGGTCCACTGTACATAAAGTGGATGTGTTTTTGATCCCAGTTGTTAAGGGTTTAAGGTATTGGTCCCTCAGAGCTGCATACAGAAGACATTCTGTTAGAAAATTTCTTCTGTTTTAGAGCATCCTACTGGGCAATTTCTGCCTGTACCTTGTTGGTCCTTCTAATATCCCATTCATGGTCTAGAGCAGATTCTTCTAATCTGATGTTAGGATGCGGCTAAGGAAGTCGCATCCTTCTTGACTGTTCATTGATTATACTGGATGAGGTGACAAGACTTGTAGTCTAAAATATCTGCAGGGTACTGGGTTATTAGTACAGCATTTGAACAATTGTCTGCAATATTAGGTGAATTTATATAGCACTTTTAAATTCCTGTATTATTCTTAGGAGCTTGAGGTCATATACCTGGTTCTCCCACCTCCCACTCCCATTTTTATTCTCAGACCAATTCTCTTAAGCCAGTCCAGGAAAGACAGGGAGCATGCAATTACCCCCAAGAAGGGCTGCAGAGCAGACTGAGCGTTGGAAAGAAACCTGAAAGAGTTGCTCCAGCAAATACGTTTGGAATTGGACATGGGCTGGGCAGCTGCTTGATTGCCCCTCTGTCAGAAATTGGCAGCCACGACTGTGCAATTAAACAGCAAACAAGCAACAGCCAGTGAAGCAATAGAGCCCAGACTGGATAATGAACATCAGCAGGGATCTGCAAACAAACCTAAAACAAAGGTGATAATAGACTAGAAATAGCCAGAGGAAATTAAAGTTTCTTGGTATAAAAAGAACAAGAAGAATGGAAAGATGTGTCTTCCTGACAGGGTGGATGAATGATCTGTGCCCAGGCCTCAACCTTACTAGGAGATTGAATGTCCAATGTAGCACATTGAGAAACCACTGAAACCGAGATACAGTACTTGAGTGTTACCATTCTTTTCTTCACAACATTCCAAAACATAATATTGAACACTACTGCAACTAAATGCTCTGGAGACCATTCATTATAAAGGTGACAAAATGTCAGTAATCCAAGCCATTGCACCTGAGACCCTTAAAGAAACTTAGGGAACGAAGATCAGTTGCAGAACTGTTAAGATGGGGAGGAATTTGCTGCACGTTGGGGATTCCACTTCAAGATACTAATCCAGTCCAGAGAGACAATCACAAGGGTTTCAGTTAGAGATGAATTGATAGGAACCTGTGAAGTTGTCTTATCAGGAGATGTGGAAAAGTGGAGAAACCAGCTTGGTGGCAGCAGATCATGAAAGGCCTCTGTGAAACCCAGCTGGCAGACGAATGCTTGAAAGAGGAATATATAATTAAGACTTTTTTAAAATGTTTGAACTGTATATGCTTACTAGATATAAGGTACTTAAACTTAAAAATCTCAGATAGCAAAGGGTTGATATGTGGTTAACTCTCACCATGGTGGCAAATGGTTCCAGTGGATGAGAGGAAGGGCAAGGTGAGAATAAGAAACCCCTGAAGACCAACTTTAGAATCACAGATTCTGAGATCGAGACCTATATTGGGTGTGTCGTTTTAGTCAGTGGTACCTATGCTTAATTAAACAGAACAAGGGGAGTTTCAGTCACACAGAATTTGACTTCCATAACTCATAGTCCTTAAATCTGAATTACTACGATGAAGCAAATACACAAAAGATTTCTTGTTTTGAGAAGTAGGGTTGTCTATCAGTTTGCTTCATTTCTGGGCAATTTTGCAGCCATAAGAAAGGCTCCCGTTGAAGAGCAAAAGAGAGTAGAAAACAAAACCCAAGTATGAGACCTCTCAAAGTGAAGACAGACAAGCATTAAGACTTAGAAAGCCATGTAAGAGGAATGCTTTGTAGCGAACTAAAGAGCCCAAGGAGAGCAACAAGGTGTGTAGAGGAATATAGTCGAAGTAATAGGTATAATTAAAACGACTCACAACTTTAAAATGCATCCATTGAAGTAAATGGATTGGGGAGAGTGCAACAGAGATGCACCCCCAATTGTATTAATGCTGAAAGCAACACTGGAACATCCTTACTTTAAAAGTTAGCATTCTTCATGTGGACAAGAAGAACAGCTATGCTTCACTTGCAGCAGTGTCCTACGGTGGTTCCTAACCATGGGTCCCCAGACATTCTTGGACTGCAGCTCCCAGAAGCCCTTGTCAGCACAGCTAGTGGTGAAGGCTTCTGGGAATTGCACTCCAAGAACATCAGGGGACCTAACGATGGGAACCACGGCGAGTCTAGCAAAAATATTGCCAGACAAGGAAGAGGGATTTATTCATCGGCGAGTCTAGCAAAAATACTGCCAGACAAGGAAGAGGGATTTATTCATTAAAGGACAGTCAAGGTGACTAAAATTTATTTGTTTAGTCGTTAAGTCGTGTCTGACTAAACATGTATTTGTTTAGCCATTAAGTCATGTCTGACTCTTTGTGACCCCATGGACCAGAGCACGCCAGGCCCTCCTGTCTTCCACTGCCTCCCAGAGTTGGTTAAATTCATGTTGGTAGCTTCAGTGACACTGTCCAACCATCTCGTCCTCTGTCGTCCCCTTCTCCTCTTGCCTTCACACTTTCCCAACATCAGGGTCTTTTCCAGGGAGTCTTCTCTTCTCATGAGATGGTCAAAGTATTGGAGCCTCAGTTTCAGGATCTGTCCTTCCAGTGAGCACTCAGAGTTGATTTCCTTTAGAATTGATAGGTTTGTTCTCCTTGCAGTCCAGGGGACTCTCAAGAGCCTCCTCCAGCACCACAATTCAAAAGCATAAATTCTTCGGTGATCAGCCTTCTTTATGGTCCAGCTCTCACTTCCGTACATCGCTACTGGAAAAACCATAGCTTTGACTATGCGGACCTTTGCCTACAAGATGTTGACAAACATTTATAGTCGGCTCCTATTATGCACTGAAGAGCTTCCACATAAACTTTTTGGAAGATATGGCCCTGATTAGACCAGTTTGCTGGAGGAGATATTGGGATGCTGGTGGGGATACAAATATCAGATTTAACAAAAAGAACAGATAAAAAAATTGCATGGATCTTTGGATGGATTGTCTCCTAATGTAAATAACTTGATGAATGGAAAAAGGAGGATTGATGCATGGTGTTAAAGAACAAAAAATATATAGATTACACATGCAGTTATTGCCTATGGAGAAATACCAAAATTGCCTCTGATTTATGATCACCCTATGAATGAGTGATCTCCCCAAAATCCTATTGTTAGGAGCTCTGTTCAGCTGTCACAAACTTAAAAGGTTTGGATTCCTTTATGGAGTCAATCTGTCTCACGTTTGCTCTTCCTTTTTTCCTGCTGTCTTCAACTTTTCCCAGCATTATTGTCTCTTCCA